GGCTTAGGGCTATAGGGTTTAGGACTAACTTCCGTAGGATGTTGGGATTGAGGAGCTGAGGTCCTCAGCAAGGACATCTGAATCCTGAAACCATGCCGTAGGATTTGGAGATGACGGTCTCATTCTCAGGGTCTAGGATGAAGCCCTTACTGAAGCGATGGACCGAACCCCAAAAGACTAAGCCTCGGAACATGCCCACCACAGAAATGAGTCGACAAAAGAATGACCCTTTGGCAAAGGCGGAGCCACTGGAGCGTTCGATACCGGCGAGTTCAAGGGGCCTGTTGGATTGCTGAAGCACCTCGGCCATTTCTATGACGTATGGAAAGGCAAGTCCCAAAAGCACACGTAACCAACCCTAAACCCTAAACCCTAAGCCCGGGTATAGGGTTTAGGGTTTAGTTTATGTAGGGTCTACCGACGGTAGTCGTGGGCAGCAAGGCATCGGGTTTCAGCATGTTGCAGCATTTTGGGTTGAGGTTGCCTCGGCTGCGCACGTTTTAGGGATTGGGGTTTCGGAGAATCTGCTTGTAGGCTCCAGATTCCAGATTTCTGATAGCTTAGCAAGACTTCTGGCTTGAGAGAAGCCCCTAAACCCTAAACCCATGCGAGAGGGAAACCTAAACCCTAAACCCTAAACCCTAAACCCCTAAACCCCTAAACCCTAAACCCTAAACACTAAACACTAAACACTAAACTCTAAACCCTAAACTAAACCGGCGAGGAAGGAGCCCTTCGCAGACGAGGAGGCTCAAGAGCTGCTGTGGACGACCAGCGAGGCACTTGCCATGAGGAAGTTTCTGGTTGTTAGAGGTTATGTGGGAGTTTGTGCAAAGGTTCTTGTGGTGTGGTTTTGGGGTCTAAAGTTTTGAGGTTACTTGGGAGTTTCCGAAAATAAGGGGTACCTTAGTTTGGGGGTCCTTATAATAAGGATCCTATTATTTAGGGTACTATATTAGGGTTCCCTATTTTCGGAAACCCCCATGTGTTGTGTGTGTGTGTGTTCTGGCCCGTGGGTTTTGTTGGTTTTGAGGATATCGGGCCCTATCTATATAAGGTGTCAGGGATTATTGGATTAGGACGTTTCTTTGCGGGCGTAGAGCTTTAATTGCAGGGATTGTAGAGTTGGGCGACGCTGGAAGTGTGTATCAGGTTGAGTTCAAAAGTGCGGATTCCAAGTTGTCACGGAGGAAGATCAGCATGTGCAGCTTCTTGCCGACACATCAGTATGCCTGAAGTCAGCTGTGTATGTCTGGCTTGCGTCTCGTTTCGAGTGGTGGACGTGCTCGTTCACTCCCAAAAGGCCTACAAACAACCCGTAAACCCTAGACCCCTAAAGCCCTAAAACCCTAAAGCCCTAAACCCTAAACCCCTAAAGCCCCAAACCCTAGAACCCTAAACCCTAAACCGTGGTAAACCCTAGACCCCTAACCCTTAAATCCCTAACCCTAATGCCTTGCCTGGGTCGCCCGACTGTAAGCACCGAAACCGATGTAAGTCCCAAGCTCTCGGGAAAAAGACTGTCTGGTGCTTAGTAGGGAATGGGGGAATGGGTTATAGGGACTACTATAAGGGACCTTAAGGGACTATCATAGGGATCCATTCCTCACTTCCCTACTAAGCACCAGACAGAAGAATTCGACAACAGGCCGTGACAGGCGTCAAGTTCGATGTGAAAGAGCGCGGACAAGCCTGCTGCTTGGGGGTGCAAATGTGCTTTAAGGGCTGTGGGGTTTGTAGGCTTCAGAGCTTCAGGCATCGACAGGCTTCGGGTTGTGTGGTTAAGCCACGGTTTAGGGCTGCTTACCCTAAGGGTCCATGTACCCAAATAGTAGATACTTTGGCCCCAAAGTACTCAAATAGGGACTACTTCAAGGCCAAAGTATCTACTATTTGGGTACATGGACCCTTAGGGTTAGGGAAAAGTTCATTCAGGGCCTTATGGTGAGGTGCTTGGGCTTTGGGTTTCGGATGTCAGGCTCTTGGGGCATCTGGGGTTTGTTTTCTGCTCCTTGGCTTGCCCACGACGGCGACCCTAAAAAAGGAGTGGAGTATTTGGCGAAGGTCGTTCGGGCTTGGGATTTGGGGCCCATCTGCATTCGACAGAAATGCTATATCCTCTGCAGTCTCTATATGATGGCACTAGAATATCCCCAAACCTTGCTTCAACTTGTCAGGCTTCGACTTTTCTTAGGGTTTAATGTAAACACCGGTGATTTCGCACCTTGCCGCTTTCCAGCCCGAAAACGTCTGGAAACCTTATACGATCCACGCACGGAGGCCAGAAAAAGATTTGGCCAAGAGCAGCTCAGGCTTGGCTTAGGCTGTCCATCCCGGGGCCGAACATCGAACCTCTGAGATCCAGGTTTAGGTCTTAGGGTTTGGGGTTTCGGTTGAGGGTTTAGGTTCTTGTGGTGTCGATGAAATCCTACTGCAATCTGGGGTAGCCGTGTGGCATGAGTCCACAGCATAGTCGGCGCCTCGGTTCCTGGCATATGCATAGTCCAGGTGCAAAGGTTCTTGCGGTGTGGTTTTGGGTTCTAAAGTTTTGAGGTTACTTTGTGGCCTGATCCATCAGATGGGGTGTTGAATCCTAAACCCTAAACCCTGAACCCTAAACCCTAACCCTAAACCCTAAACCCTAAACCCTAAACCCTAAACCCTAAACCCTAAACCCTAGCCGGAGTCCTTCCTGGCTTCAGGAGCCACCACATTTCAGAGACCTGTGGGGTGAGGCCAGGTTTAGGTTCACCTTTCGTTTCAGTGTTACAGGCTTAAGGGTTTAGGGTTTAGGGTTACAGGCTTAAGGGTTTAGGGTTTCGAATCTCCTGTTGCATTGCCCGAAGGGCAACGAGCCTACTTTCGCACATTTTCGCCAGCTTCTGGCCAATTTTCAATTGCCTGAGTTTTCACCCAGAGGCTATGGCTTCGCGGTTTGAAATTCCGTGCAGGTCGCTAAAATTAGAAGTGGTAAGTGGTTCTCGACCATGAGAAGCAGCTGCAACCGCAAGCCGAAGCCCCGGATCTGCATTTAAACTTCAAGCCCCGACTCGAAACCAGCTTCTCACCAGCAGACCCACAGCTCCAGCCCGCAATGCTAAAGCCAAAACTGCCTCACTGAAACCCCAAAACACCGTGTTAAAACACCGAATTTCAAGCACGCATGCTTCGATCCTAAAATCCCCGAAGCATGACTCCCCAAACACGAAATGCTTGGCCGAGCTCCTTTTGTAACTTCTCTCGGTGCTGTACAAGCAGTAGACTTGGTTTTGGGGCCATGGTTTAGCCTCGAGTAGAGGAAGTTGCGCAAGGGAAGAAGATTGCTATAGGGTTTAGGGTCTAGGGTGTTGAGCCGATAGCCTCCCAAGGACTTGAAACTGTAAAGCCCTCAATGCTCAGGCTCTAAGTTAGCAGTTTATAGGCAGCCCTGAAGCCGTATGCGGTGCACGAGAAGCTGTTGAACCTCTGACGCTGCCACACATCCTTCTGTCTTCGCTTGCTTGTCCCGATGTCAGGAAGCCCCTTCTGCTACAGGCGTCATAAACCACTGAACCACCCAAATCACGCAACTCTGAATCAAACCATAGACCTAAGCACCCCTACATCTCTCAACCTTAAACCCCTGAACCCTTGAGCCCGACCAGGCTTCCCCTTCGCAGTTTCACGCTGTATGCTCAAGGCTGAAGGGACTTTAGGGGATGCAGGGCGAGGGGTTGCGGAAATGGAGGCTTCAGGGCTGCAAGGGTTAAGGGCTTGGGCCTGGCCCCAGATTTATCCCTCAAGTAACTTCAGTGGTACCTATAGTCTCCATTGTAGTTCCTTTTTTTGGTTTAACCAAATATATATTAACGAGTTTATAAGGCATCCCCGAAAAGGAACTACAATGGAGACTATAGGTAAGCCCGAAAAGCGAGATCGCAACGCTAAGGCTGACGTTTTGGCTCACCGCGAAGATTGCCAGTGGCATGGTCTTCATCCTCGTGGCCACCCGGCCTTCGAAAACCACCTAAGGGTCCATATTCCATACAGCATATGCCACACCGCCAAAGTTCTGCTGCATAAGAGCCCTAAGGCCCTATCAAGAAAGCCTGTAAGACCTATAAGCTATAGATACATGGCCCATTGGGGCATCGACGGCAGGATTTAGGAGTGCTTTCTTCGAGGGTACATGGGGCTTGAACTTGTCAGGCAAAGCCTGGCAATGCCAGGCATTTAGGGTTTAGGGTTTTAGGTTTTAGGGTTGTGCGGGGTTGTGCAGTCATGAGTGCTGCGTTGCTTCACGGCGACGGCAGTTCCGGGCGAGAGAAGCCTGCTGCAAAAAGGTTTGAGGGTTTAGGGTTTAGGGTGCAGAATGGCTTGCATGGAGCTTTGAATCGGACAGACTAAAGTGGGAGTTTCCGAAAATATGGGGTACCTTATTTGGGGGTCCTTATAATAGGGATCCTATTATCTAGGGTGCTATATTAGGGTCCCCTATTTCCGGAAACCCCCAAATGACCAATGACCAAAAGGTCTTTCATTTAGGGTCTCATGTGTATTGGCTAAAGTTGTTCCGAGCGATCCGGTCAGGTACTGCGATCGGATGTGAGGATTCATGCTTTGGATTCTCATGCGAAATTAATACGTTCTGGGTAGGTGTTGGCATATGTGCCCTAAGCCCGCACCTTAAGCATTAAACCCTGTGAGGTGAACCATTACTTGGCCATTTTCTTCATGGCCATCGGACTGCAAGGCGGGTACCAAGCTGTGATTTCTTTCTGTAAAGCGCTTCCCGAAAGCACCTGCTTTATGCCGCTGTGCTATGGCTTAACGCAGGGGCCCCTTGGTGTCTCTTTTGCTACGCTGATACATGTTTCCAGGCAGAGAAAAGTGAAGCTCGCGGTGCCGTGGGTTGAAGCTGTTAAGCTGACTAGTGAGCCACCTGGATTCACAGGTGGTAGCGGAGCAACGAAGGTCCAGAGGGACCGCTCCGAGGTGGCGTTTTGAAGGCGCCAGTGGTGATGCCTCCGCAGAAGGCGGCTCCGCCGCTTCCTCCAGCGGAGGGCAAGGAGACGGGTGGCAACGGTGGTGGATACTACAGGGATCGAGATCCCCCTCCTGGCTACGACGGCCGAGAGCCCAACAGAACCTTCGCCCGGTGGCTTAAGGAGGTGCGACTATGGGAGTACGAGACGGAGATCCCTAAGGAAAAATGGGGCGTGAAGTTGCTCAGGCAGCTCAGTGGTTCGGCAAGGGCAGCTGCGGACAATCTTGGCTTCGAGGACATAGCTTGTGAAAAAGGCATGGAGAACTTGATCAGGACCCTCACGGACCACTTCTCCCCTCACTTGGAATCGTCGCTGTCACAGGCCTTCGAGAACGCCATCTACGCGGAGCCACGAGCCCAGCGAGAATCTTTCGGCGACTACGTCATCCGGATGGAGTACGCATTCAAGGAGCTGGAGCGCCAGAAGGTACCGCTCCACGACATAGCGGTCGGCTATGTGATGTTCCGACATGCCAGCCTGAACGACACTCAAGAGAGTCAGATGCTGACCTGGGGCCAAGGCAAGTACGATCGGAAAACCGTGGTGGAAAACCTTAGACGACTCGACAAGGGCAACCTCGATGCAAGGAGAAAAGGCCCAAGCCACTACGTCATGGAGGATGACGCGGGCCACGACGATGTGGAGGAGACGAACGAGACCTACGTCGGCGAGATCCCGCCTGAGGACGAAGAGTCCGAACTCGATGATGAGTACGTCTACATTGGGGAACAGGACATGCAAGAAGTGTTTGAGGAAGATCAGATGCTAGAGGCTCTGGCTACCTACCAGGATGTCCGTCGTTCACTCAGAGAACAAAGAAACAATCGAGGGTACTACCCTCAGGGGAAGTCTTCGTCTGCGGGCGGCAAGGGCAAAGGCAAAGGCAGTGGCTCTGGCAAGTCGAGACCTACTTTGGCGATGAAGGGCAGGGACAGAGTCAAGTTCACCAAGAATGGGACTAAGGTCCACGTGGACATGCTGAAGCTGAGAACGAGATGTGCCCGATGCGGCAGTGTGGGGCATTGGGCAAAAGAATGCCGCAACCCTCCAGACGAGAGAGGGAGAGCAGCTGCAGCGGCGCGGGCGACGGCGACTTCGGCATCCACACAGTCCTTTCCCTCCTCGCCATCCGTTCGATCAGGGTTCTTTGTACAGACGAGTGAGGATGGTGGCTCTGTGGACAAGAGCTTCTGCGGAGCCGTGCACACCTTCTTCGGTGAAAAGTCCGAGCCGAATGCCCAGTACATGCCCAGCTTCGGGAGTGTGTTGCGAGCGGTGCTGAGAAAGAGGAATAGCGAGTCATCTCTACAGCAAGTAGTTTCCGGTGATCCCGCTGCTGAACCCTTTATCGGCATCTCCACCCAACCGAGTGAAGGCGTTGTCGACACGGCGGCGCAAGACGGCCTTATCGGCAAGGCCTCGCTGCTTCGTTTGGCACAGGCTCTACGTGAGAAAGGGCTTCAGTTTCGATGGAACACACAGAAGAAAGCTCAGGCTAGTGGAGTCGGAGGTCGTGCCGAAGTACTTGGGGTTGCGGAGGTCCCAATAGGGATAGCGGGGATCAACGGTCTCATGGAGTTGACTGTGGTGACCGACAATGTACCACTCCTTCTTCCCATCAAGATGTTGCGTCAGCTAAGGGCAGTCGTGGATTTGGACGCCAACAATCTGGAGCTGAAGGCCTTTGGGGTGAAAACACCTATGACTAAACTTCCGTCAGGACATGTGTCTGTGGACATACTGTCATTTTCCCCAGAGGGTTGGTCACTCCCATGTGATGCAGAGCGTGCACGCTTGAGCGAAGAGCAGTTTGTTTTGATGTCCAACAGCTATGTGAACCACAGCATGACTTCGCTCGAGCAGTCAAGCCCAAGGCGAGTTAAATTCGAGGCCGTGAACCATGGCGCAGATGCTCCTGCAGAGGATGATGGATCAACGAGAGCGGGACCACCCGGCCACTCCCGCGAGGTTCTCAGGAGCGGAGCTGCGGAGCAGGCGAGCCATGAAGCGTTGGCGAGTGATCGTCGACAAGATGGCAGACCTCATGGAGTTGATCGACGCCCGCGGAAGAGTTTGGGACTGGCTTCCCGATGGCTCCTTGCGACGGTTGGGACTTCAGTCCTCGCCAACCAAGGTCCCATCTCCTTCTACCCCGACAAGCTCAACATCCGCGAGTACGGCGACCATGGACAAGCAGCTGGAGTATGCCGAGATCATAAAGTACGCGGCCTTTTTGGGGACTCGGAAGTCCAAGGAATCAGCTCGGATGAGTGTGTCGGAATGCAACCACCCGGCTTCGGAGCTGAAGGGCGGCGGGAACCAGTACGGGAAGGACATTTACTGTGCCCGCTGTCTGGGGCGTTGGACCTACCTCAAACCAGAGGAGCTCAAGATCAAGAAGGACGAGGCCATGGGGTACTCATCCACTCCTCCGAGGACGACTCAGCGGTCTACGGTGCCCACGACTACGCCGAAGAGAACCTCGGGACCAATGACGACAAGCCCAACAGGATCAGCACAGTCTACAAAGGCAGTGACGTGCCACTGCGGGAACCCAGCATTTCGCTGGGAGGTCAAGAAAGCTGGCCCCACGAAGGGCAGGCACTTCTTCCGCTGTGCCCAACGCCTGTGCGAGTTCTTTGTTTGGGACGAGATGGAGAAGACCGAGCTGAAGAGGCACCTGGACGAGAACGCCCAGGTTCAAATGGAGGTGGACGAGACGGAGGCCCACGACGAGCTGTATGTGCAGGGAGCGGACGGCGGCTTCCAGATTGTGCGGGCCGAGTAATCGGCGATGGATCGCCGGAGGAGGATGGGCCCGGGAGCTTGTGTCTGATACAGACGAGGGCCCAGTTGACGACCGCAAGGCGGTCCCAGATGCGGACATTTGGTTCGCGAGCCTATGCACCTTGGGAGATGCCAATGCCACGTGCGTACTATGTTCAAGATGAGTCAGTTGGTCAGTGGCGTCGGCACACGGGTTGGCTACCGAAGGAACTTGGCAAGGACACCTACGCGGTCAAGTTCGAAGATGAAGCTGCCATGGTGATGTGGAGTGAAGATGTCGGCAAGCACAAGGCCCTATCTACGTCACAGAGAAAGCTCGTGATGGAGCGAGCCCAACGGTTCTTACGAGACATGGGGCCGAAGGTCAACCACTTGGTGCAGGAGGCTGTGTCACCTTCTTTTTCGAGTACGAGTTTTGTGAGTTGTGATGGGACGATGGCCACTTTGGATCCGTCCTGTCCGAATCAGTTTTGGGAGGCTTTGGGAGCTACGTGTCCGAGTTGTTTGATCCTCCGACCAGGTCGTGATGGAGGTTCCATGCAAATGGCGTTCGAGGCTGCCGAGTGGCAGCACCTAAATGGCCGAGCTTTCGTTGTTCTTCATGATGGACGAGACAAGGACTACGTCGAGAACAACATCAGTTCGGAGGACCTGCTTGGACAAAGAGTGCAGTGCGAGCTACCTGGTGGCGAAGTGATGATTGGTAATGATGAGGTTCTGGTAAGGTGCGCTACAGAGGCGAGAATCGCTGGAAGATGCCTTACTCAGGAGAACATTGATGTCCTCGAGCAGAATCAGAAGGCACACCAGGAGAACATTGATGTCCTCGAGCAGAATCAGAAGGCACACCAGGAGAACATTGATGTCCTCGGGCAGAATCAGAAGGCACACCAGGAGAACGTTGATGTCCTTTATCAGAATCAGGAGGCACACCAGGAGAACGTTGATGTCCTTTATCAGAATCAGGAGGCACACCAGACGGTCCTTTTAAATAAAGATGTGTGTCAGGAGCACGGTGGGGTTCATGAATGTGATGTGTGTCAGGAGCACGGTGGGGACCCAAGCGCGGACGTTGAGTGCTTTGCCACAGAGTCAGAGATCCTAGCAGTTGAGGAAGCATCAGCCCTATTGCTCCGACAAAAGGACTACTCGATGGTGTCGTTAGAAAAGCTCTTGGTCAAGTTTCCCAAGTTGGTTTCCAAAGGTCGACAAAGCGATGAGAGAGGGAACTACCATTTGTTTGGCTTGTATGCACACGGGGCCAAGTACGGAATCACAAGGAGTTCAAGGAAGCTGAAGGTTTTCCTCCAGTACCTCAATGAGACCATTGCGTACCAAGCCCAGTGTCAAGGATATCCCCGAGCGACGTGGTCTTCTATCGCAATCGGACTGAATGCAGGGAGCAGGCCACACAAAGACCACCACAATCGAGTTCACTCCAAGAACTACATCTTTGGTGTGGGAAGCTACCGAGGAGGAGAACTATGGGTCGAGTGTGACGAGAGAAACCTTGGAGCTTCGTCAAGATGCATGTGGAAGTGGACTCCTCAGGGAACGAGAGCTGTGGGCGAGGTGTACGACGTCAAGTACAAGATGAAAGAGTTTGACCCGCGAAGATGGCGCGCCTCATGCAGATGGACGGGCCAACGCATTGTGATCAGTGCGTTCACTTCACGAGCTGTGGATGAGGTTTCAACTTCTATGCTTCGTGAGCTGAACGGTCTCGGGTTCAGAATGCCTCAGGACAACGTTGTGTACATGTTTGACGGGACCCATCGTGATGGGATTGGTCAATTTTCTTCGGTGTTCGCAGAAGAGGATGAAGTTCAAGCACCCGAAGAAGGCGAAGAAGGCGACCCCGAGCCCACGGTCGAGCAGGCGAAGTTGGAGCCGAGTACGGAGGAAAAGCGGTTGGTCAAGAAACTACATGACAACCTTGGTCATCCCGCTGGCCGTGAAATGGCGAGGTCCTTGCGATTGGCCAATGCCAAGCCCCACATTATCCGCTATGTGGCCAAAGACTTTAGATGCTCGATTTGCGAATCTCGCATTAAGCCAAAGCCAGCGCGGCCGGCCACCCTTCCGAAGATCTACGAACCGGGTCGTGTGGTGGGAGTTGATGTGATCTTTCTGAGTGCACTCAACCGCAGGGAAACGTTCCCGGCCCTCAATGTGACGGACTGGGGAACCTCGTACCAAGTGGTGGAGCGGCTTAAGTCTACTGAGGCCACCCACACCTGGCGGACTTTTATGAGAGTGTGGTGCCGGACATTCGGCGTCCCCGATGTGATCGTCGCCGATCTGGGAACGGAGTTTCGCGGACAGTTCTCAGAACTAGCGGCCCAGGCAGGGGCTTTGATCCGGCATACGGCGGCTAGGTCACCGTGGCAAGCTGGGAAAACCGAACGTGCGGGTGCTCACTACAAGTTTGTCTATGAGAAGGCGCGGGAGAACACCTACATTGGCTCTTGGGAGGAGATCAAAACCCTCATGTACGCCGTTGAGTCTTCAAAGAACAGGTACGGCAACAGGAGTGGTTTCTCCCCGATGCAGAGACAGATTGGGCACAACCTTCGCCTACCGGGATCTTTACTTTCGGACGACAGCTTGGACCCCGCGTTGGTTGTGGCCGGCGCCGATAGCGAGATGAGAAAAAGTTTGGAAATCAGGGCGGCGGCGCAGGAGGCCTACATCAAGTCCCAGACTGCCGTGGCCTTGTCTAAAGCCAAGAATGCCAGGAACCGAGTGCAAGTTCAATTTTCAGCTGGTGAGACAGTCTACGTGTACAGACAGCCCAATGTCAGAAAGAGGAAGCATGCCATCACCCCGGAAGCCCACGAGAGTCGCAAGCCAGTTTGGGTCGGCCCGGGATTGATCCTCGCAGTGGAAACACCCAGTTTGTGGATATCGATGAAAGGCGAATTATGGAAAGCCAGCTTTGAGCAGTGCAGGCATGCAACTTCAGAAGAGCAAATCGCGAAAGCACTCCTGGCTGGCGAGCTAGAAGCTCTTAAGGAGGAGCTCGGCCGGACTGCTCACAAACGGACGTTTCGGGACATGACCGACCAAGGAGTCCCTGGAGAAGACGATCCTCTACATCAGGAAGCCGAGCAGTTCGAGAGCTTAGGAGGAGGCGATCAACCTGAACCGTCGGCACAGCGACAACGACGAGATGATGGGCGAGATGTCGAAGTTCCCGACGACAGCGACTTGGACTACGAGCCGAGCGAAGAGGATGAAGGCGACCAAGTGCCCGAACCTCAGGCTCAACCGCCAGATGGTCATGAACGCTCAGGAGAGCCTTCAGCGTTGAGTCGCAGAACCACCGAGTCCGAGCCTGAGCCGGTGCCGATGCCCAACAATGTGGGAGGTCCCGGTGCAAGGCCCGTTTTGGGCAATCCAGTGGAAACCGCACATCAAGTGATGAGGAACGAGCGCATGGACGGAAATCCACCCGGCAGTCCTCCATATGAGGCAGCGAGGCGGATCATGCAGCACCGTCCCGAAGGAAGGCATCATCCCTACTTTGCCGAGAAGACCGACGGTGAGTCCATGCATGCATGGTATTCGCTGGAAGATGGCAAGTGGACTTGGGAACCTGATGTTTGGGAAGAGGTGAGCCGCGACATTGTGATCAGACAGCACAACTTCCCGAGAAAGCAACTGTGCAACCCGGCCAAGGTCCAAGGAGCTCTCATGCCGAGACGGCTGAAGCATCGCGCCACCTACATGGTTGACGACTCGGGAGAAGTTCATGTACAGAATGACAACTGGTTCAAAAACCGCAAGAAGCCGAACAGAACCAAACACTCCTGGGTTGGTTTTACCGTGTTCAGCAACAAAGAGATCGACGTCAAGGCTTTTGCGAGTGGCAAGAACCGTGGACAGGGTGAAGTGTTTGAGCATGAGATCAAGCCGGAGGATTGGCCTGGATGGAGGGTCAGTGACAAACAAGAGTGGGACAAAGTTGAGGCTACGAATGCAGTCAAGGTTTTGTCTGTTGAGGAGTCTCGACGCATCAGGAACGACCCCGTGGAGAGCGCTCGGATCCTTCCATCCCGGATGGTTCGAAGGTGGAAACCTGGCGAGCAGCCAGGCGAAGCGGACACCAGGAAATCTCGCTGGTGTATTCGCGGGGATCGTGATCCGGATGTCCTAACCCTCGAGCGCTATGCTCCGACTTTGAATTCTACCTCCTTTGGAGTGCTGCTACAAACCGCAGCATCGATGAAGTACCGAGCTACCGTTGGAGACCTGAAAAATGCTTTCATGCAGTCTTCACCTTTGGTGCGTGAGAAGGGGAACTTGTACGCAAGTCAGCCGAAGAGCGGCATCGATGGACTCGACCCGGAGCAGTTGATACAGATCATATCAGGCTGCTACGGATTGAATGACGCTCCTAGCCATTGGCGACAAACGCTCAAGGAGGCGATCCTCGCGTTGGGCTACAAGGAGTCGGTCCTCGACCCCACCATCTACTACTTGAGGACGCAGTCGGTGCTGGATGGAGCAATAGCAGTAGAAGTGGATGACTTGTTTACCTTCGGAAACAAAGTACATGAAGATCGTATGGCGCAGCTTCAAGAGCGTTTCCGGTTTGGGAAATATGAAGTGGTCATGGAATCCTCAACTGGAGTCGGATTCAACGGGCGACGTATCAAACAACTGCCCAATTTCGACTTCGAAGTTGATATGACGAAGTTCGTCTGTGAAAGACTCGAGCCAGTAGCGCTCGGAAAAGGTCGGAAGTCCGATGTCAAAGCCTTGGCTTCAGACTCGGAAATAGCACAGATGCGAGCGGTTATCGGAGGATTGAACTGGGCTGCTAAGGAAGGAAGACCAGATTGCGCTGCAGCTGCATCCTTGGGTGCGGCATCCTTTCCGAAGCCCACGATTCAGGATGTTCTCGACGTGAACCGGGCGGTGAAGGTGCTCAAGGACAGGCCAGAGCTGTCCATCAAGATCAGAGCGGTGGAAGTCAGTAAGCTGGCTTGGGGCGTGGTTTCTGACGCCAGCTTTGCGAACGCCTACGGCGGCCACAGCCAAGGTGCCTACGGCATTCTCGCGTTCCACGAGGACCTACAGAAGGGATGTCGAGTGCCATGTTCACTCATTTCGTGGAGAAGTGGAAGGATTCAGAAGGTGGTGAACTCAACTTTGGCAGCCGAGACGCAGAGTTTGTCAAAGGGCTTAGGCGAACTTTGTTGGGTAGTGACGCTGTACAACGAGCTCATGGACGAGAACTTCGACCTCGCTTTGTGGGAGGAGCAGATGAAGAAGAATAAGGTTGTGGCGATCGCGGCCGAGGACTCCGATGAGACCCTGAAGACGAGCTTATGCATAGTAGATGCTAAGGCCCTCTATGACCACCTGAGCAAGGAATCCACAGGTCCTTCAGCCGATAAACGGACCGGATTGGAAATGCAAGTGGTGCGACAGAACATGAACGGCATCAATGCCAAGGTCAGGTGGGTACCGCATCCGAGAATGGTCGTGGACGGTTTGACCAAGAAGAACGCCAACCTCGAGGCCTTGTACGACCTTCTGGACACCGGTGAGTACCAGATTGTTTCGGAAGCCCATGCCTTACAGGAGAAGCGCGAAGAAAGAGATGAGCGAGGATACAACAGACGATGAGCTTTCGGGAACGAAGTTCCGGGAGCTGTGATTTCTTTCTGTAAAGCGCTTCCCGAAAGCACCTGCTTTATGCCGCTGTGCTATGGCTTAACGCAGGGGCCCCTTGGTGTCTCTTTTGCTACGCTGATACATGTTTCCAGGCAGAGAAAAGTGAAGCTCGCGGTGCCGTGGGTTGAAGCTGTTAAGCTGACTAGTGAGCCACCTGGATTCACACAAGCATAGAAGTCGTGATTCCCGAAAACTTCTGCGTTAAAGTGCCTACCCGGATCTTTCAGCGCAGGAATTTTTTCAGACTCAAAAGCCACCTGGCAGGTCCTTCAGATAAACCAAACCCCTTGACAAGCAGTTGCAGACTAGCAGTGCTTGCCAAGCCAGTCGCGGCAAAGTGTAAAAATGTTTCGCCCATACTCCATGGTCCCGCTCCGCATGCTCATTGCAACCTTAGCTTCAGTGCTTTGCAGTGGACGTTCAACTCAGAGCTGGCTTACCCCTGACACCTTTTTTGCGACCTGTGCTGCAGTTGTACACACGGAAAGACTGCATATTCAGCCCACCAGCAATACATGCATGCACTAGAAACTGAAAGTTACAGAGACAGTGCTATCCAGTGCCAGTCAGCCTGCAGTCTCTTTGCAGGGAATATGCATGCGTGACAAACCCACACATTCACCATGGGGTGTGTGACTTGATGGCTTACATCTTCCGTGCTCTATTCTCGAGACCGCCTTTCCTGAACGACTGCTGCAAGTGCAGGTCTGAGTCTTACATCACGTCTTCAGAATACGGATGATAATCCGAGCCAGGTCTGCTCTGATTGTGTGAAGAGGTTTTCGATGTCACCGTGACTGAGACCCTAACCATCAACGTCAGCTGTGGCAAGGTTTTGACTTATGCTGCATGTCTGAGCCACGTACCTCAGCACCATAGAACTCGATCCCGCTGAAACCCTCGAAAAGACCCGAGCACCTGACACTCTGCAGCAACCCATGACCAAGCGTAACCTAGGGTTTTATATAACCTAGGGTTTAGTATAACCTAGGGTTTAATATACCCTAGGGTTTAATGTAACCTAGGGTTTAATCTACCCTAGGGTTCAATATGACCTAGGGTTTTATATAACCTAGGGTTTTATATAACCGTTTTATGTAACTTAAGGTTTTAGGTAACCTAGGGTTTTATATAACCTAGGGTTTAATGTAACCTAGGGTTTTATGTAACCTAGGGTTTTATGTAACATAGGGTTTTATAGGGCTTAGGATTCACTCTCACAAGGCAGGCAAGATGGTGCGCGAAACTGGCTGGTAGCATACGAGGTGGAGGACTGGCCTGTGCAAAGAAGTTTAGCATCCCTAAACCCTAAACCCTAAACCCTAAACCGTCTTTGTTTGTGTGCACCCCGCAACTCCAGCGCTTCTGAGCAAGAGTCGCGCAGATTCCCGGACTGGTGAGACTCGTCGTCGTTGTAAGTGTTGTCTGGGGTACCGTTGAGCATTTGAGGCGAGATTTCGGGATGTGCGGGTTCAGGGCTCAGAAGCTCATGTTCGTTGACATCTTTTTGATGTATCAGGTACTTCCCTGAACCTATAAGGGTCTGGCTGGAGGGCAGACGTCGCAGCATTCTCTCCCCACGCGCACTGAGACATGTCCCGTGCAGTCTGTGGGAGCTTCTGCCGAAAACTAGGGGCACCTTTTTGAGTGATTCTCGTAATCATGTAGATCCTAGGAGCCTGTGTTCATTTTTTGGGATGCTCGATTTTCTGTAACTCTCCGTGCATGAGCTTCCTCAGAAGGCCAACTTCTTGCTTCTTTGGTTGGGTGATTTCCTTAGTTTCAGGCCTTGGGATGAACCCTTGGTCCACACAGAGCGCACGGCCGTGCCCGAAGCTTCCATGCAAGTCGGCAGCTGTAGCGGCTTGTGGGGTTCTGCGTGCTGGCTGGACATAGAGCTGGCAAACTGCTAACTGTCGCAGGACACAGACTTCTGGGACATTTATGCCTCTTGGAAGATTGCAGAAAGTTGGCCTTGCGGGCATATGGGCCTGTGGATCTTATGCATTGTCGGTACAATTACCTATTTCGCTTTGCGTGCAGGGCTGTGCTCTGCTATAAACTCAGAGGGGTTGGGCCATGGGGGCCGTGCTGCCGAGGCCATCTCCTTACATTGGAGCCTGACCCAGTTCACACCGGCGACGAACAACATTGGCCCGGTGAACTCGCTAGAAAGATTGCAGCTGGGCAAGGACCCGAAAGCTTAAGTTCGGTGGCTTTGGTGTGCGCAAGTCCTACAAGTGTGTCAGAGTCGGGTATTTCGCTGTCACCCCTGACATACCTCGGAGCTCATTTCAACTACTTCGGGCCTCGGTGTCCTTTGGTTCCCTAAACTCAACATGACCTTGGGCTTGGGGCACTGGCGAAGACAGTAGGAGGGAAACGAATAAAGACAGTTCAGGGCTCCGGGAAGTGCGGTCTTAGGGACTTGGAGGGCTTTGGTTTCGGCTATCTGGGTCGCGTTGATGCCAAATATGGTGGCCGTACGACCAGAAGGTTGGTGGCAGGTGCCAGTCAGCCTCTCAGATGATCTTTTCCTCTTCGGAATGCAAAGAAATCAGAAGACGAGCGGCAATGATTTCTAAGAGCAGCAGGACCAGCATGATTGGTTTCGGAAGGACTAGGAGTGACACCCTGGAGGCCAAATCCCCTGCTTGAATAGACGAGGTGTGTTTCAGCAATAAAGACCCTGAATACATACACTCGAAAACACCAGTCACTGGCTTTACTATTTAAAAAGGGGAGCCCGAAAAGAGGCCCGCCCTAAGCCCTAAACTAGATCCGAAACCCTCACACCCGCAACCTGTTTATCCTCAGGTTTGCCATCTGCGTGGTTCTCGTCGCCCTGGCTCTATTCTCTTCCTTCCTCAGTTCGATCACGAACGCCGCGGCCTGGTGACATTTGGGAAGACCCTAAACCCAGACGCCTCAAGAAGTTGAAGAGGGAACCGGGAGGTACATCATAGAAAATGAAGGGACGAGAATGGGTTCTTATCAACTTAAGGAGAGTTCAAACCATAGACTACGCCCAGCCCCGCTCAAACCTCTCAACCTCGCAAAACTAAGGGGCTAGCGGCTAGCAAGCCAATATAAGCCGAATTTCATCCCAAACCTTTTCCGCATGTTCATTGTAAGCGTCACGTGCATTTTGGCTGGCCTGGAGGAGGCGCCAACGGTGGTGTGCAGCCTTAGAGCGAAGCGCGTAGCAGACATTCCATGAACAAGAACCTACGCCTCGAGTTCAGAACCATACTTGCACCTTGCATGGATTCGAAGATATTGTGTGGCATGGCCTAGTTTGTGGCAGGGATCCTTTACTCAGCAAGAAATGTGACCAGCAAAACGTTCTAACCCTGAGTGTTTGGGGTTCAGGGTCGGTGTGAAAGCTCGAAGGTCACGGCGCTCCGCGCAGTACGTCTCGACTACGAAACTCGGGAGGCAGCCAAGCAAGTCGGAGTGCACCCGGTTCGCCAAGGATCCCTTTTCATTTCATACACATATATAAGGGTTCCATCGAAGCTCAGGGTTGTTTTCCCGTGTGTACGGTTTCAGTTTTGGGGCTTTGCGTTTACTTTATCCATGGCATGTACAAGACTTTGACTCACTCTTCTCTGGTCACTCTCATCCGAGTCCAGAGACTTGGGTTTAGAACGATCTTGAAGGTCGTCTGGTCACTTCGGACATTGAGATTTAAGTTGTATTCGTCACAGGGGAGGCCTGGTCTTGAAGCTGAAGAAGGAGAGGCTTTCAGAAGTTCACGGCATCTGGCTTGGGGTCTTCTCCTTCTCCCTCGATGGGAACGTTGAACACGAAAGACCCGAGTTCAACATTGATCTCAAAGCTTATTAATGTAGGGGCCTTAATAATTAGAATAGGCTTTCGGTGGTTCCTTGTCATAACTATAGTATCATACACCCCAAATCCTATTCAGTAGGTAGGTGTTTCTGAGATTCTGACTCCAAGGTCGGGGTTGTTAGTTTTGCTCCTCGGGCGTTGTAGTTAGACAGCTGCGGCGCTGAAGAGTATCCGGGCCGTGTGCTGTTTGGGGTTTAGGACCTTAGGGTCTGCCGCGCATGCCAATCCCGACGGCCCTGTCAAATTGTGGACTTCCCTTTCGGCAAGCATCTCGTGCGCATACTTCAGGCGTGCTTCAGGGTTCATGTCCACGGCTTAGCTAGACTCTCATCATACGTCCTATTCTGTTGGCTTATTTTGTGGTCACGATCTCACGGTGGGGGTGTGGATCAAGGATCCTTTGCCTCTGTGCTCTTGGAGCATGTCTTCGTACTTCGATGCATGCGATCCTGTTGAAAGGACAGTGTTGGTGATAAGAAGAAACTACGTGGTGATTCGAAAGCGAAGAACAGAGGGCAGAGGGGCTTCTGCACAGGTAAACGGGTCCTTTGCGCCGAGTTTTAGGCAGTACATCTTGCGAAATGGACAACCGCTCCCCGTTGAACTGACTCGAAAGAAAATATACATAGTAATAACGAATAACTAATAACAACAGAATTAATACTAATCATAAAAAATATTCGTAATAATAATAAGCATGATGATAATAATCGTAATAATAATAGCAATACCAAGCGGCTCAGCTGGAGTTTCGCCCTCAAGCTGCTCCGGGTCCAGGCTCAGATTCGCCAGTTTTTCAACGAGCGAAATCTGCCTGCAGCCCTGCTGGCACAGGTCAAGGTGCCTCCGGATCACATCCTTCGGATCAGATGGTGGGTCTTCTTGATTTCAGGATCGTCTTGGAAAGGGGAGGGGGTATTGCAGATTTGTCGATGCGCATACTAGCAGTATTTTTCCACCTTCCCATGTTACTGCTTTTGTCGGTGCTAACTTCTGCACGATGGTCTCTGGGGGGTCCTCTTCTGCCAGAGAACGGGTAGCCCGAAGGAAAAAAAAGGCTCCTCGAACACCAACCCACACTAAATGCCGGTATCCCG